AGCAGGCTCTTCCCTCCTGCCTTCTCCAGCGGGCAGGGCTCATGCCTTAGCCTGCCGAGACAGCAGGTGGGATGTATTAAAAGTGACCATTTGCTTTCTTTATTCCCATCTACCCCTGGAATTTCCAGCACAGTCTCGGGGAGACAGAAGCTCATTTCTGCAAGCTGGAGGCCCTGTTTGAAGGACCTGGAAATTTTAGTGAGTTTTAGACCCAGGGACACTGCTCGGTTCCTCTGCAAGGGCCAGCTCTAGTTCCTAATGGGTACTTTTAAATGTTGAAAAAGAAACCCGGGGTGGAAAAATACAATTTGATTTGCTCATATTTGGCATTCTGTCCATTGCAAGAGTCTGAGGCAAGGGTTCAGAGCAGCATGGGAAAACACAGATGTACAGCAAAGTCTGCTTCGTGGCTATGACTCACTGACTGAGCTTACTTCTTCCTTCTTGTTTGTGTTAATGGCCTGTGCTCCTTCCCCCAAGGTTAAAGTCACAGAATTCCCATTTAGAGAGCTGGAAACAAAACACGAATGCCTGTCTTTTTCTGGATCCCATTTGTTGTCTTCAATGCACTGTTTCCATACATAACTTGCCAGATTCGAGCAATTTTGTTGCTTTTTTTTTCTCCATAGGATTGAATGTCTTGCTGAGAAAATTAAGCTACGTCCTCTTTTGTTCTGTAAAACACTTCTCATTCAAAGCACCAGAATGAGAAAACTCGTTCTTCAAAGAAAGTTATTCTCTTGTCTGGGCTTAGTCTTCATGTCTGTGGAGCTGGTTCATTCTTCCTCTCTTTCTCATATAGTTCCCTTTGGATAGCTAATTTGTACCCTGCTCAATGAGGCTGAAATTTGTATTAAGGCATCCATTCAAGGGCTTAACAAAGGCAGGCAGTCTCTTCCGGTTTCTTTCCCAGATAAAGCAAAACTCAATAACCTCCAGCATACTCTGTATTCTCTCTAAAAAAGTGATGCTATTGTTTATTTTGGCTCTTACTGAGTTCTGTAATAATGCCAGAAGATGTATTTTTTGTTTCAGAGAAGACTGAAGCTTTCAACTATAAGAGCCTTCTAGTTTGACCCCTCTCCTGGTATGAGAATACCTTGAATTGTATTCAGGATTTTAGAGTTACATAGCCTAAAGCTGTCGCTGGAAATATGTTTATCCCTGTAATCCAAGAAATAGTTGTCAGCTGTTTCCTCCCTCCAGTCCTGCAGGAACTGCTCTGTGGCAGACTTCTCTTTGTCTGTGTTCAAATAAGTGAGCCGTCATCTGCCATTAATGCGCGAGACCGCAGCCTGCCTTGGCAGCTGTAGTATGTCAGGCTTCTCAAGATGCCTCGGCTCATTTCTCACGTGGCGGGAGGCGGAAGGCAGAAGGCAAGCACTGGATGGCTAAATTCTGGTTGGGACGGCTGGTGTGGTCGTGAAGAACGTGCTCTGTTGCCTGTGAAAACACTGCAGCTCAGGAACTCTAGAGAGTTCATAACTCTAGAGAGTTCATAAGAGAAATTCACTGTGTGTTATCACCCAAGTCTGTTATGGGAGGAACCTGCCTACAGGTCGGGACTCGTGGGCAGAGCGGCACAGACACCCTCTGCCCCGGCCCTGGAGGAGCATGCTCTGACTGAGACCCTGCCTTCGTGCATCCCGTGCTGTCTAACACCAGGCTTATACAGTACTGTTAAATGAAATAAAGTGAAATGAAATAAGGACTTGCATGAGGAATGCTGGAAGTAGAGGATTACTTCCTAAAACCATGAGTATGACTTCAGTCTAGGTAGATGTTTTATTTCTGAGGCAAATTTAAATCTACCTCTACCTTCTTTCCCCTCAGACTGGTGGAAGGAAGGTTGTGACAACAAAAGCTAGAAAAACGTTCGAGGAAAATTCTGAAGTTTGGGGTACCTAGTTTTTAAGTAGATTGCCATGGTGCTGCCCATCCTCGCACATAAATATGTCCTGTGTGATTTATTAGAATGTTTTTAGAAACTCACTCAGTAGGATTACTTGAAGATTTAAGGATTCTTTAGTATGAGGAGAAACAGTAAGGCTGGGCCCAGAGAAATTAAATATTAATGGGGAGCTGAATACGGTAGTAGGGCTGCCACAGTTCTGTGCCCCCAGTAGTGAGGCTGAGAGTGTATCCCCAGGCTTGCACACACAAACTCACATATACAGCACGCACATGCGTGTGTATGCAGGTGGCCACACAGATCATCACAGCCAGGTGCAGTTAGCATTCGCATAAACAGCACCAGCGGCCTCATCCTGTTCCCCTTTCTGGCTGATCATGATGAAGTCTGTTATTGCAATATATATAAATAAAATAATATATACATATAAAACATATTTTTACAGTAATGTATTCATATATATAAAACATACATTTTTATAACATAAAATAATATATCTAGTATAGATATTTCAGTAACAGAAGTCAAATTCCAGTGTGGATCCCTGCAGCAGCTGGGCTCAGACACTCAGTCTGCCCAGGGGCTGCCCCTGTATCCCAGTCTCCCCAGCTGCTGGCACCTGGACGTACAAACCCCCGAGGCTGCATTTCCACTCCAGTTGCTGGTACAGTGCCTCTCGCACACACGCAGCTCCCTGGCCGCCAGCCAGGATCCCCCTTGTCCCTGCGGTGGCCATACACTTCTGTGGCGACTCCTTCCAGACCACTTCACCTGCTCGCCAGCTAGTCCAGCTTGCGCTTTGCTGGTGCTCACACTTGCACCTGCACGACTGCTCCAGTTGCTGCCACCACAGACACCCAGGTCCCTGCAACCCTTGGTCTTGTATCAGTTGTTGGCACTCAGAACCGCCCCCCCTCCCCCCCCGCCATCCACACAGAATAGAGCTCCTCACCCGGGAGAACAGTTAGAAATGAAATTTAATGAGATGCCAGGACAACTGATGAGATGCTGACACCTGTTTACACGCAGTGGCCCCGTTTTATCTCTCTACCCTTCTGAGAGTGGTATCAGCAGAAGAACTTTACACCAGGACTGTTAGTCCTACGTATGGACTGCCCTCATATGGTCAATCCTCTGACCATACAAGGCGGCTTGAGGCACAGTCAGTGTGGCCGCGTTACTAGTTCATGGCTTAGGTAAATAAAATAAAATCACTATGCTGATTGTGGACCTAGTCTTGGGCAGAACTATATTTGGGTACTAATTCAAAGATTGTTTTGCCACGTTTTTGTGCAATGTAGATATGTCCGGAGAGCCGTGGTACTGATGAAACTCATTAGAGCAAGATTCAGCCCGTTCCGAAATGAACATCTAGTAAGTCTAACAGAGCGGGTCATCAGGCAGCCGTCGCTAGGAGAAGGGTGGAGTCAAACTATGTTTCCATAGAGAAAGTGTTGAAACTGTGAATGTGGTTTACAGCAATGCAAACAGGAAGGACATTTTAAAAAAATAGCAATCTACTAATCGGTTCTGCAAGGGGAGCAACAGAAGAGAAGCTGCAGCGCTGAGTGTAGGACAGGTCTGCATGCTTTTCGATAGAAGTAAACTTCAATCATTTCTGCTATAATTGGAAATGAGGGGTGGGAGTAAGACTTCTTTTCTTTCCTTCTGGTTGAAATGCACTTTGAACAATAACCAACCCCTGTTTTGGGGGGGTGTGTGCTTTTGGGGAAATGGGAACTGTTTTCACTGAAACATTCAAATGCAAGGGAAACGGACACTAAATATAACTGCACCACTTATTCCGTAATAATTTGAAATGAAAATAATGTGGAGAGTTTTCTGAACCAGCAGGTCTGAGCGTGCAAGTTGCTGCTAAAGCAGGTGGGCTCCGTGCTCTGCTGACCCCTCTGCTGTTCTCTCTGGGGTCAACTTCTGCAGGCCCTGGGAAGCCCGGGGTTCACTGGGCTCAAAACAGAGTTTTCCCTTAGTCACCCGTGTATCAGCTGTCACTTTCAACACTGGTTTGGCTTGTGTCCCACCACTGCATTGTTTACTGCTCCCCACGGGGCAAAGAAGCAGAAGAAAAGTATTTCAAGGGAAA